CTCCAGGCATAGAGCAGAAAGCGCCTGAGCTGAGTTTGAGGGCCACACATCTCCGCAACTAGACTCTCTACCCATAGAAAGCGACCCTTAAGAAGAAAGGGCGTGGTATAGATTCAGAATAACCCAAGAATTATAGATGCAAAAGGGGCTACAGTACATATGGCACAACATAACTTTGTCATATGGCACAACATAACTTTGTCATATGGCACAGTAAAACAAACAGAATAGCTCACAATTTGTAATAAACCTTTGGAAGGTTTAAGAAAGATGAAGCCGAGATGATCCCAGTTCAAAGTGCCAAATTGAGAGGACTAATTGTACATAAAAGATACTAAGTTTACCAAGTTTGTTGGCCTGAAGTCCTTCCCAAACAAAAAGCTTTTTTCTTTTGGAAATAAAAGCGCCCATGAAAGACTCCATGTTAAAAGAGACAACACTCATGTGCTTCTTTAAAAATAAAAACTGGGATTGGGATGTAGCTCAGTACCCCACTGCCCACCCCCCCAAAAATGAAGCACCTTATTACAAAACTCTCACCTTAGGACCCAAGACAGTAAGACAGATGTAAGATATCTGTTTAAGTTTTACATGGGAAAATCGACAATTGACAATTTACACGGGACATTGTTTATTGCTTTCATGTCTGTCAAGAAAAATTGGCATTAGAAGGTATGTGCAAGACTGTCTATAAGAGTAGAACAAGATAAATGTAAAGATCACAAGAAAACTTCATTATTTAGTACTAAATTGCATTGTTTCTATTTTTTATTCATTTCTCAGAAAATTCTGAATCAAAGATGCTTGAGGATTTGTGGGTAAATGAAAAGCTAACAGGAGATAGGCATGTCATCTTCAAATTTTCAAAGTGAATAGTTACTTGACCCAAAAAAAATTTGGAGGAAATTATTAATAGACCAGTTATAGGCACTGAGAGCTGTGATTCTCACACTTAAGTGTTCATTCAAAAATTCCTGGTATCATACCCAGAGTTTCTGATTCCTTAACTTTGGCTCAGAGTATGTGCATTTTCAACTGTGAAGATGAAAGGAACTTGTGACCTACAGGTATAAATACTATGAGTATTTATATGCTCTTGGAGATTCACTAACCTCTAGACAATCAAATAAAGACCACTGGGGTTTTTTCATAAAAAACAAGACATTTATTATTCTCACTTTCTACTCAACTTAGGGAAATGTTCACTGCCTATTCTCAGATGTTTTCATAATTGAGGTGAGTTCCATAACATACAATTCACCATCTTACCCATTTTAAAATGTACAATTCAGAAACTATTGAAATATTCATAGTGTTGTTAAATTGCCTCCATTATCTAGTTCCATAAAATTGAGGTGGATTTTTTTCCCCTGGGAAAAAACAGAGAACACCTTTTGGAATAAACCTAATGCAACAATTCATTCCAGAAAGGATTGCAGATATTAGCGTCATGAAAGCTGCCTAGAGCTTTGAGTCCCTATGTAGCCAACTGCAACCTAACTTAGTATGTGAACAAACTGAAAGTCTAAGAATATATTTTTATAACAAATAGCTGTCTCAGCCAGTCCTAGTAGCTGAGCTCCAGTCAGTTACCAGCTGCTAACTCATCAGACTGTGTTCAAATAAGGAAAACACAGCTGTATCTGCACCTCACTTTCCTTTTCTGATGAATACTTCCTGCCCCCATCCCAGAGTTCTCTGAACCTCTTCTAGTTCCGAGTGCTGCATAATTCATGAATCATTCTTTGCTAAATTACTCCCTGATCAATTTAATTAGTCTAATGTTTTTCTTTTAATAATTCTAGTATTAACAGTAAACAAATTTAGACTAAAGAACAAAAACAAAAAGTAAGGTTTTGAACAAAGTGTTTTTTAAAAATTCAGTGAAATCTGTACTCAAAAAGATAAATGAGTCAAAAACATTCCTATGAGTATTTATATGCTCTTGGCATGGGTGAGACCCTTTAAAAAAAAAGGGGGGGGGGAAAGGATCAGATTAACAGATCTGAATACATAAAACTTTGAAGTAGATGAATATCTTAGCTTGTATTCCTTTGCTATAAAAAAATACCTGAGGGTAGACAATGTATAAAGAAAGCAAGTTTATTTAGCTTAAAGTTTTGGAGGTCGAAAGTCCAAGATCTGTTTGACTGTTGATGAGAGCCTTCTGTCTATATCATAACATAGTAGATAGACTCAGCAGGAGCACATTGGAAAGGGAGAGGACAGTCATATGGCAAGGAAACAACAGAGATTCAGGTCTTGTTCTTTTCATAACAATTTTCTTTCACTAAACTAACTGGGTCCCGCAATAACTATATTAGTCCCTTCCAAGACCAATGACCTCAACACTTCTACTAGGCACCACCTGTTAAAAGTACTACTACTTCAACATTGCCACACTGGGGGCACCAAACTTCAAGCTGATGACCATTTGGGGAGCACACTCAAAGCATACCCAAACCGCAGCATTCTGCAGTATGTGTCCAAAACATTCTACCCTAATACAGTTTAATTGTAGAGTACTTGACTAGTATGCACAACAACCTGCATTTGTTGATCCCTAGCAACACACACACACACAAAAAAAAAAAAAAAAGAAAAGAAGGAAGAATGAAAGAAAAGAGAAGAAAATTTAAAAAGAAAGATAATGCTGGGTATAGTGATGCACTCCTGTAATCCCAGCAGCTTGGAAGACTAAGGCAGGAGGATTACAAGTTTGAAGTCAGCCTCAGCAATTTAGAGAGGCCCTGAGCAACTTAGTGAGACACTATCTCAAAATAAAAAAATAAAATGGGCTGGGAATGTGGATCAGTAGTTAAGTACTCCTGGGTTCCAATCCTAGTAACAAAAATAAAATAAAATCCACTACCACCACCACCACCAACAACAAAAAACATCAAAAATATTCCAATGTAAACACAATTTTTAGTTCAAAATAAAATCATGATCAACATATACATATATACACATAAAGGAATTGATGTAAAAATGTGTTTTTAAAAGATTTTTTTTTTAAAGTACAAGCATGTTAGAGAAGACAGTTACTAAAATGATTCCTTTCCTATCTTGCAGAGTTTTGTCTGGTACAGGTTAAGTTAGACTCCCTCTGTAAATTACTTTCCTATTGCTGCTATAATTACTGTAGAGGCTTAAGCAACACAAATTGATTAACGAACAGTTCTGGAGGTCAGAGTACCAAATGGGTCAACAGAGCTATATTCCTTCTGTTGGTCTTTCCCAGCTTCTAAGGGCTGTTGATTCCTTAATTGGTGTCTCTGTCTGACTCCAACCTCTGCTTATAGGCCACATCCCTTTCTCTGACTGACTCACCTGCCTTGCTCTCATAACAACCTTTGGGTTAAATGGGTCCCATATGTATAATCTATTGACCTCAAATTATTTAATTTAACCAAATCTGTAAAGTCCTTTTATTATGTAAGGTTAGTACATCACAGGTTCCAGTGTTGGTGCACAGACATCTTTGGGAGGGGTGGTCATTATGCTGCCTATCACACAAAGCTGAGAAATTCCCCCATGGGTCTTGAAACAGGTTGAGGTGGGTAAAAAGCTCAGGGTTCATAGTGGTAGCTATTTAAATGCAGTCCTTATATCCATAACTGTCAGTCTGGGCTGAATTCAGGAGTTGATTTAATGAAAAAACAATGAGATACGCCAAAATTATTTTGCCTCCTATTTTGGGGATGGAGAGAGGATAAAGATATTTTTAAATAGTTTCTCCACTGTTTCTACTTAGTGAAAGCACGTTCACTTGGAAGCAATTTTAAAAGTTTAGTTTCTTGTTGTGTGGTTTCTTTTCTTTTTTTCTATGTTCTTTCTTTCTTCCTTTCTTTCTTTCTTTCTTTTTTTCACTGCTAGGGACCTAATCCAGGGCCTTACATATAATTAGGCATACTCTACTACTGGGCTACATCTCCGGCTTGCAAGCTCTTAAAAGGTTGTCCAAAACAACCATAACAAGACTTTATGTGGCTGTGCATGCAGACCCAGGAGGGACTGAGGAGAAGATTCTTCATTTAAGGAAGAGTTTTTCTCCTTCCTCCGTTGCTGGGGCCTGAACCCTGAACCCCGGGCATAATTAGGAAGGCCCTTCATTACTGTCATACCCACAACTCCCACAACTCCCAAGAATTCTTAAATGAATTTCTTCTATCTTGTTTGGTGGTCATTTTCTGCATCAGATTGTGTGTAAACGAGCAGCCCCTGGTGGCTCCGAGGATAATAACAGATTTTTGCTGAGAAGTTTTGACGGTGCTCCAGTAGGGGTCAGCGATGAGGTAACTCCAGGGCTCTCAGAATGCCTAATTAGCCTGTGAGCTTTTAAGCCTAAAGGCACATAAAACTGGAGATAAACATAGAACAACAGGAAGAGGGAGGTAATACTAATTTTAAAACAGTCCAGGAATATATGTTCAAATTGTACATATTAGTAAATTTCTGAATATTTGTGAACTTCGACGAGGCAAAACTTTTATTTGAAGTTCCCCAAATAACAGGAGTAGAAGAGTCCAAAAGAGACGGGGTCTCGCTATGTTGCCCAGGCTGGAGTGCAGTGGCTATTCACAGGCGCGATCCCACTACTGATCAGCACGGGAGTTTTGACCTGCTCCGTTTCCGACCTGGGCCGGTTCACCCCTCCTTAGGCAACCTGGTGGCCCCCCGCTCCCGGGAGGTCACCATATTGATGCCGAACTTAGTGCGGACACCCGATCGGCATAGCGCACTACAGCCCAGAACTCCTGGACTCAAGCGATCCTCCCACCTCAGCCTCCCAGTAGCTGGGACTACAGGCGCGCGCCACCGCGCCCGGCGATCACAACGGTGGCAGAAAGATACTAAAGGCTGAGGTTTGGTGACGTCATCGGAGGAGGGGCAAAACTGGGCGGTTCAGAGCTTGAACACGCCTCGCTCGAGGCGGTCCGGAGTCTGGGGCCATATTTCGTCACCCGGGCGGGGTTACAGTTCTGCTTTATAATAGACTAAGCGAGGAATCCAAAGCGTACCTCTGTGGCGTGGTCTCACTAAGGTTTGTTCCAAACCCTGTTTGTATTTACCCGGAAACGGTCAGGTCAGTAAACTCTTAAGTGATCCTCGTTGTATCTAGAAACGCAGTGAGAAAGTAAAGGAAGTGCTTAATGCCTGGTCCCCCGGCATTATCTTGCTTCAGCAGACTTGAATACGTGTGGCATTTTTTGGAATATGTCATTTTATTTATTTTAAATAAATTTTTATTTTAAGAGGGAACCATTTACCTAAATCTTCCATTTTCCACAATAAGCAAATTTAGGAGATGTTTGCGCTGTACGAAGGGGAATAAACTATAGTAACTGAAGTTGGAGGTCCGCAAAAGGGTCGGAGGCCAGCTCAATCTGAATTATTGGAAGGAGGGGAACCTGGGGCTGTTGCCTGCTTTCGCCTTCTCATGTTCGTTGTCCCTGTTGTTGAAGAAAAAAAATAGTAACTGGGTAATTGTGTAAGATTTGGGCGAAGAATTTCGATTTGACGGCTTGGAGGCATTTTGGAACAAGCTTAGGTTAAGGGATGGAGGGGAAGAAAGAAAAAAGAAAAAAATACAACCGGAGTAGTTCTGCTGCAGCAGAAATTTCATTTTTCCTCGTGGGCAGTCTTTCCTCCCCCCTCCCCTCTTTTTTTTCCCCCTAAAAATGAGTCTGAGCTTTCCTCTCCACCTCGGTCCTTGAGGTAGGTAACTTAAAGACCATCAGATAAAAACTTTCAACTCTTCTTTCAACTCCTTGCCACTCCCCTTCTCTAAATTTATCTTTACAGAGTCAGGGAATAACAACCCCCTGTTGTACCTTCTTAACTCAAACCCAGTAGTTCAGAATTCTTGTCTCTGGCTCTGTGTGTGTGTCTCCCTCAGAGATTCTGAGTTCTTTCACCTTAAAAAACAACCCTCCCGTTTCCCCCTTTGACTCTGCCTCTTTCAAAATGGAATAAAGCGGGAGGGGCCAAAGAATGAGGCATACATTAAAGTACATTACAGGCATATATTAAAGTACATTGATTGAAAGCAAAAGGACTCTACAATGTAAATAAACTGAAGTTAATGAGCCTCCCTTGAGAAATTAAGAGGGAATGTTGCAGAATGATAGTTTCCCCCAAAGTCTGTTTCAACCTTTCATTACCCTGATAAATTTATAGTTGGACACAGGAAGTTCCAGTTAGAGACCACATTTCCCAGTTGACCTTACAACCTAGTGTGGTTAAGTTCTCACCAGTGGAACAAGAATGCAGTGTTACAGGTGATCTGTAACTCTTGCTTAAAAATAAATCGTTGCCCTCCGTTTCTGCTCTTTTGAGGTTGGAGGTCCGCAAAAGTGTCTGAGGCCAACTCAATCTGAATTATTGGAAGGAGGGAAACCTAGGGCTGTTGCCTGCTTTCGCCTTCTCATGTTCGTTGTCCCTGCTCCAGCGCTAGGTGGCGCCAGTGCACACCCGCTGTAGCGCTCCAGCTTTAACCAAGCAAAGGAGGAAAAATATCTCACCCAGAGGATGCGAAAACTTGCAGAGGAAAGAAACCAGGATGCGTGAATGAAAATGGAGCTGAACCACCCTGCTAGTCAGAACCATTCCTATCTCTGGTCTGTTACAAGAGTAAAAAGTCTCTATTTCCTTTAAATCAATATATATTGGTGGGGCCTCTTTATTTTTACAGCATACTCTTAACTTTTTCAGATAAATTCACAGAAGAAAACTTTAAAAAATATATTCTTAGTTGTAGATGGACATAATGCCTTTTATTTTATGAATTTATTTTTATGTGGTTTTGAAGATCAAACCTAGGGTCTCGCATGTGCTAGGCGAGTGCTATACCACTGAGCTACAACCCCAGCCAAGAAAATTCCTCATAGCTAGAACTTCTAAAGGACAAGAACCAAAAGAGCTGCAGCATCTACAGGGCATCCTAATGGGTGGATCATCTTTTTTTTTTTAATATTTTATTTTTTAATTTTCGGCGGACACATCTTTGTTTGTATGTGGTGCTGAGGATCAAACTCGGGGCCGCACGCATGCCAGGCGAGCAAGCTACCACTTGAGCCACATCCCCAGCCCCGAGTGGATCATCTTTACCCGTCTGTAAGATTAAAAAAAAAGAAACAAGTCCTGTATTTTCCTACATTCTCTATATTTGTATCCATTTTATTATTTTGTAAATGAAAATTTTCTTCCTTTCTCAGTTGTCCCTGTATTTTCAGTGGCAGTAAATCTCGTCTTATGAATCGATAAAATCTTTTGTTTTATGATGGTTTAGGTTGAACCACCATCAATTACATTAACCCCCACTTCACCATTGCTTTATGAATTAGTGACAGACATATATTCAGTGCTAAGTCAATTATGCCTAAGCTCCAATCAGTTGTTTACATTTTTAAATTTGAGTTTTAGATTTTTATTTTGTATGGTTGTTTTATTTTAAAAGAGACAAGTGTCTTGATATGTTGCCCAGACTAACCCCAAACTTCTGGACTGAAGCCGCCCTCCTACTGTAGCCTTCCGTGAGGCTGAGGCTACAAATCGGTGTCACAGCGCCAGCGAGGGCAACAGTTGTGACTTTTTAACACTGCAGAAAACAAGGCAATGTCGGTCTTAAGGTGGGGTTTGCGCTTTCAAAATGTAAACCGTCAATTCTGTGGCTCCAAACATCAGAATAGATAAGGCCTTCATCTCGGATGGAGTCTCAATTTGTCTAAAAAACTCGATACCAGGAACCCCCAGACGTTTACAAATTAGTTCTTTGGGGGTGTTAAATGAAGAAGAGCAAGAGGTCAGATGAAAAGAAAAGGCTTTCTGCCCTGGTCGGGAAAGATGGTGTGTGGCCACATAGGGCCTGGGACTCGAAACCTCAGCAGCTACCAAGGGAGGAGCACAGGGCAAGGCAGAAGTTGGACAAAGGCCCCAATTGCTGGGCCCTGAGAGCACCCTAGGAGGCGACCCGATGCAGCTAAAGAGGACCGGGCAGCGGTCCCAGAAAAGCAAGTGAAAGAGGCGCAACCCGGGGACCATTGCCAGCCGGTATCCTAGCCCAAGCAGAGGAGAACAGAAGCCAAGACCTGGGACCAGGACACGCGGAGCCCCAGGCGAAGAGGCGGAGAGTGGCGCAGAGAAGCTGGAACTGCCTGAAAAAGCAGGGCGGGACCGCGGCCGCAGGAAGGGGCGGGGCTAGGCGGGGCGGGGGGCGGGGCCGGGGGCGGTGGCGGCGGCCAACCCGGGATCCGTGCTGACAAATTACCCTGAGTGACCTGAGTTCGTAGGTTTAGCGATTACACTCTTGTCTGCGCCCTCCTACACAGCCATCCTATCCCCACCCTGGACAGAGTGTCTGTTCTCTGCCGTTTATCACAGTGGGATCACATACTAGTACCAACAGGATTTTCATTAGGGCAAGTTATTTGCATTTCAGGGCCATGCCCTTGTGGGCTGACCCAGATTCCATTATACTTAATAAGGTATGAATTAATTAGAACTTCACTTTGACACACGTTTTCCGACCACACTGTGCTCTGAGGAAGAACCTTTAATGTGGTTAATACACATATCGATTCATAAACTGATTTTTTGTGACAGGTTTTTTAACTCAGAATAAATCCTGATATTGGACAAAGTTACTTATCCAATGTCATGCTTGGTGCTTGCTAGGGGATGCTTTATAAATTATGTTTTCATAATTCGCATTGTTAATAATTAAGAATATATTGTGTTACACTGTGGTTTCTGTGTATCACATTTTATGACTGAAGGGATTCACACTTTCCTCAGGGATTGCTTTGGGAGCTAATGCATCTTGAAAGTAGCTCTATTTATACAGAGAATACTGAAAGCACATGCTGCTGTATCTACTTAACTGACAACCCCCCTCCCAATGACAAAGCTCTAATACATTTTGTGGCACAGCTCATTTCCCAAGGGGGAGCATAGCCTGGGGTACAAAAAGAAATAAAGGGAAAACCACTGTTACAGGAGACGGTCTATAGTCACCATGATATATTGATAAACAATGTTACATAGTACAGAAGAGTATTTGTATAATCAAGAAAAATAAATATAAATCCTGATTTATTCTCATTTTCAAAATTAATATTAATGATCTTGCATATTAAAATAATAATACAAACTAGAAAATCATAAGAATTATGTTCTTTTTTTTTAAATATTTATTTTATTATTTTTTAGTTCTCGGCGGATACAACATCTTTGTTTGTATGTGGTGCTGAGGATCAAACCCGGGCCACACACATGCCAGGCGAGCGCGCTACCGCTTGAGCCACATCCCCAGCCCAAGAATTATGTTCTTTTGATTGTAAGATTTTATTAAAATAGTGAGTCCCTTTGTGCATTCATTCATTCATCCATTGGCTCTATATCATTAGTTATTACGGAAATACAATCAAAACCACAATGAGTCAGGCATGTGGCACCTGCATGTGGCACCTACCTGTAATCCCAGATACTTGGGAGGTTGAGGCAGGAGGATGGAAAGTTGAAAGCCAGCCTTAGCAATTTAGTGAGACCTTGTATCAAAATAAAATAAAAAAGGTTAAGGATGTAGTTCATTGGTAAAGTACTGTGGAGTTCAATCCCCAGTATTAAAACAAACAAACCCAACAACAAATAAACAAAAACCAACAATGAGATGCAACTTCATGCCTACTAGAATCACCACAGCAACAACAATAACAAAAATCCAATCCTAGATATAGACCCCAAAAATTTTTTAAAAGAGGGGGACAAACAGATATTTGTACCAACGTTTGGGGAATCATTCATAAAGTTAAAAGGTGAAAGCAACCCAAGTGTCCACCAATAGATGAATGAGTAAACAAAATTTGGTATTATAGAATATTATCCAGTCATATTAGGAAATTAAGTTCTGACACATGCTACAACATGGAAGAATCTTGAAAACATAAAGTGATATAAGCCAGAGATAAGAAAAAAAAAGCCATTGTATAATTCCATTTATGTGAAATATTTAGAATATGCAAATAGATAGAGATAGGAAGTAGAAGTTGGGGAAAGTGGGGAATGGGGAGTTATTGCTTATCTTGTATAGAATTTCTATTTGGGGTGATAAAAGTTTTAGAAATAGTAATAATGGATGCATAACTTTATAAATGTAATGAATGTTTCTGACTTGTACACTTGTACACTTTCAATATATGTGTATATATAATATTTGTGGGTCTATTTCTGGGTTATCCATTGTGTTCCTCTGATTTATGCATCTATCCCTTCATCAACATCGAACAGTCTTTATTACAATAGTCTTGAAGTTGGGCAGACTGATCCCTTCTACTTTTATTTTTGAAAATCATTTTAGTTATTCTGTTTCTTTTATCTTTCCATATAAATTATGTAATCTTATCAACATCTATAAAGACTCTTTCTGGGATTTTTGATAGAAATTGAATTAAGCCTGGAGAAAATGGGCATCTTTACCATGTTGAATCGTCTAATCCATGAGCATGGTTATCTCACTATATATTAGATATCCTTTGACTTAGTGATTTAATGTTTCCATTTGGTTCTTCACTTTATACCTTCTTTTTAAATTTTTGTTGTTGTTGTTGTTGTTGTATTGGGGATTGAACCCAGATGTGCTGAACAACTGAGCCACATCCCTAGCCCTTTTAAATTTTTATTTTGAGACAGGGTCTCATTAAGTTGTTTAGGGTCTTGTTAAATTACTGAGGCTGACTTAGAACTTGTGATCCTCCTGCCTCAGCCTCCCAAAATGACAGGATTACAGACATGCCCCCCTGTACCCTGCTCATTACATCTTCTATATCTCTGCTAAGACTTCCTACTTATTTGCTGAGACTTTATATTTTCACTCGTTTCAATTGTGTTAGTAATTGCTCATTAAAGCATCTTTATGCTGGCTACTGTAAGATCTTTATCAGTCTAACATCTTTTTCATCTTGGTGCTGGCATTTCTTTTTTTTAATTTTTAATACCTTTTAAAAAATATTTATACATTTTTTAGTTGTAGTTGAACACAATCTCTCTATTTCGTTTATTTATTTTTATGTAGTGCTGAGGATCGAACCCAGGGCTCCTGCACGCTGAGCCACAATCCCAGCCCCAGGGCTGGCATTTCTTAATTTTTTTTTTTTTTTTTTTTTTTTGTTGTTGTTGTATTCAGTTTGAGATCTTGCTGTTATGAGTGATTTTTGTTGAGATCTGACTATTTCGGACATTATAAAACTCTGCATCTTATTTTTTTAATATTTATTTTTAAATTGTAGTTGGATGTAATACATTTATTTATTTATTTTTACGAGGATTTGAACCCAGGGCCTCGCATGTGCTAGGTGAGCATTCTATGGATGAGCCACAACCCCAGCTCCTCTGCATCTTATTTAACCCGATTTTAGCGGCTTCCCCTGACACCTCTCCAACAGGAAAAGGGGAATACCACCTTGTTACTGCTAGATGGGGACAGAAGTACAGTTTACCCAATTGGCCTCTACTGACACTTTAGGATGGTGACTCCTTAGTGCTAGGAAGGAGTAAAAGTACTTGCTCCCCAAAGTCTCCAGTGATACCTCCCTCACTGGAAAGGGTAGTTATGCCTTATTACTGTTCCCCATGTGGTTTTTATGTGCTTTCCATTATGAAGGTATGATTGATTAAATTATTGGTCATCTCAATCGCCAGACCCTCCCCCTTTCTGTGAGGTCTGAAGAAGAGGCTGACAATTTCAAACTTAATCACAAGGTTGAGTCCTCTGGCAACCAGCCCCCTCCTTCAAGAATCATTTCATTAGCATAAACTCCAGTGTGATCAGAAGGGGCTTATTATGAATAACAAAAGATATTCCTCTCACCCCTATCACTTAGCAAATTTCAAGGGTTTTAGAAGCTTTGTGACAGGAACTAGGGACAAATATCTATCTATCTATCTATCTATCTATATATATATATACATATTTCTTATTATTTTATAATATCACAGGAGGTAAAGTGGTGGCTGGCCTCCTTATGGGAAAAGTCCTGACTCCCCACTAGGCCTCATCTGACACCACCCCAGCAGGGAGCGGGAGGGGTGCCCTTTCTGCCAGTGGGTGGTAGAAGTCCAGGTTCCCACTTAGTCTCTGTTGACACCCAGAATTTGGGTGGGGCTCATCACCACCTAGCAGTGATGAAGGTCTCTGTTCCCTGCTCCATCTGGTGGGGGTGCAGCAGGTTGGACACAGCATTAAGAGTCCAGCAAGTGTGAAAGCCTAGTCTCCCATCTGGCCTTTGCTACCATGGATAGAGTGTGGCCACAGATTTTTATTAGTAGTTGGCTGGAGTAAAGTGGTTTAGTTTCTAGAAGTTTTCTGTCTTCCTAGGTTGTCCCTATCCTGGTCCTTTGGCTCAAAAGAGCAGACTTCTCTTGGGGCATTTCTTTTTTCCTTTTCTTTTTTTGGTTTCGGTTTTGATTTTGGGCATTTCCAGGTTGTCAGCTTCTTAAACTCTAAGTCTTAGAGATATAAGGAAAAAGTGAAACCCAGAGAATTTACCACTTTGCTATTACTTAAATCTACAGGTCCCTCAGCAGTTAAACCTTCTCTTTACCTTTCAGAGTCTTGTGTGTAATGCCTAATTTTCAGTTGTCTGTAGAAGGAAAAAAAAAAAAAAAAAATATATATATATATATATATATATATATAATACATTATACATCTATATCTATAGGTATAGATATATCTACTCCATCTTCCTGGAAGCAGATATCTACTGTATTTATTTTTATGAAAAACTCCAGCTGGGGCTAGGGTTGTAGCTCAGTGGTAGAGCTCTTGCCTCACACGTGTGAGGCCCTGGGTTTGATTCTCAGCACCACATTAAATAAATAAAAATAGAGATATTGTGTCCATCTACAACTGAAAAAAAAAAAAAAAAAAACTCCAGCTAGGCATGGTGGCACATACTTGTAATCCCAGTAACTGGGGAGGCTGAGGCAGGAGGATAGCAAACTGGAGGCCTGCCTGGGCAATTTACTGAGGCCCTATCTCAAAAAGGACTGAGGGCATGGATCAGTGGTACATTGTCCTGGGTTCAATCTTCAGCAACACACATACACACACACACACACACACACACACGCGCGCGGGTCTTTGATGTCCTTTTTTCTTCTCCATTAGGAAAACTACCTGTTAGGCACAGTGGTGCATGCCGTAATCCTAGTGACTCAGGAGGTTGAGGCAGAAGGATCCCTAGTTCAAAGCCAGCCTCCGCAATTTAGTGAGGCCCTAAATAATTTAGGGAGACCCTGTCTCAAAATAAAATATACAAAAAGGCTGGAGATGTGGCTCAGTTTTTAAGCACCCCTTGGTTTAACCCCTGATAAAAGAAAGAGAGGAAGAAAGAAAAGAAAGAAAGAAAACTGCTTGAGGCGGGTGTAGTGGTGCATTCCTATAACCTCAGTGACTCTGGAGGCTGAGGTAAGGGGGATACAAGTTAGAGGCCAGCCTAAGCAATTTATTGAGATCATCAGCAATTTAGCAAAACCCTGTTTTAAAAATAAAACAAAAGGACTAGGGATGTATCTCAGTGGTAAAGCACTCCTCGGTTCAATTCCAGGGGTGTTGGGGAGAACCCACTTCTGTAGCATGAAGGAATTTATTAAATTATTCCAAGAGTGCTACAAAGCAATTTAGGGAAGCTAGATCACAGATTTGTTTAATTTCTTTATATACCAAATTAAACTTGTCAGTCCACTCCTATTCCTTCTAGTAGTGATTTTATGATAAATAGTAATGGTAATTTATGTCATATATATTAGATCTTATTATAGCATATATATTATAATTCTCTTGAGGCATTAGTCTTTATTTGGTTGTTAAAATTTATGTTTTGTCTGCATACTACTTTCCCTGGACACATTTTGTAAAGCTATAACTTCTGTTTTTATGTAACAGAAACTTACTAGAGTTTCCTTTAGCCAAAAAAAAGCTAATAATATAAAGTGTGTCTCATGAACTCAAAGGCTGGCATGCAGACAGACCCAAAGGAGGACCTGGAATTATGGGGAATAGTCTCTTCTCTTTTCCACACATCTTCTTTCTTTTTCTCAGAAAATTAGCTTCTATTGCCTGCCTGTATTCAAAGAATAGTCTGTGACACAGACACTAGAGAGATGTAGATACACTGAGAATAGACTGATATAGTCTTCAGATCTGATTCTAAATTCTCAGGAGTAAGAATCTGAGCAACCAATTTTGTGTGGTCATGAATATGTGTGTGAGGGATTGCATGGAAAATTAGGAATATATTTCTGTATTCTGTGGATGGGGATGGCAGTTACCTAAAACTTCCAAAAGTGTCAAATACATTGAGGAACTTGTTCTCCT